GTAACACAATATACTTGTGAAGTTCTTGTTTTACACAGCTTTTATGTTAGTGAGTTAGTTTTTGTGAGAGTACTTCTTGAGCATCTTCTTTACTTCAAAGAGCGATTTACAGAGTCCTTCTGCCCTTACTTCGGTTTTCTGTCTCTAAAATTGTGTACAGTTTTCATTGTTCCCACTCCCACTTCATCCACAGAGTCCTCGTCCATTCCAGAGGTGGCAGAGTCTCTTGATTTGGTTTCTTCATCTTTACGTTCTTCCCCCGACCCTAGCTGACGTCTCAAAAACTCTTTAGCTTTAAAAATGGTGTCAATCTTCTCTCTTTTATCGTTGATTTTAAAGATGACACATTCAGGGATTGCCCACCGATACTGAATTCCATTGGTTTGAAGAAATGAGATTAAATCCTTGTAGCTTTTCCTCTTTTGACGTATTTCAAATGGGATGTCTTTTAAAGTCTTAATGATTGTATTCCCAAATTTCAGTGGATTTGCTGAAGTTGCCTTTAATATAGCATCTCTGGTCTGTCTTCTTGCAAATCTAACCACAATCTCTCCAGGCAGGCTTTTAAAAAATATATATAATTGGAGTATGCCCGGTAGGCATCCTCCATGTCTTTTACTATCTCCTCCGCTGACAAGCCTGTTACTGGAGCAATAATCTCGGTTAAAACCAAAAATAAAATAGCAAACACCAATTTATTTATTTATTTTAAATTTTAAATAGCAAAGCAATATGACGTAGGATGGTATCAAGATTCTTTTGGTTGGGGGTGCTGCTGACGAGCCCATGCACTCCAAAGCACTGATAAAGTATCCCCCCACACCACCATGAAAAAGTAGAACATACTGACATGGGGGTGTGTTTTTTGCAATATTTTATCAATACAGAAGTATACATGGATGGAATTAGAGGCATGTCAACTGAAGGAACTGAATGTTGCAACAAGTTGCACATACACAGGTATAATTCAGCAATTTTTAAAAGCAGAACAATGGAGAACTCATAGTGCATTAGTTGCACTTTGGTTTCAAGGGCAGGTAGTTTAAACCTTAAGATGTAGAAAATTTTGGAAGCATCCTTACAGAAAGCCAGTACTGATAGTGTATCTATGGGTATAGAAATTAGTAGAACACAATTGTATCGGTGACTATGAAAGACTACTCTTTAAAAATAAAATTAAAAAATCTAGAAAACGTGTATGCCACCTTCCCAAAGACCTGCTCAATAAAACAGAACCAAACAATTCATTAAAAACAGGACAGGACATAAAAGCAGCTTCAAGAAATGTTGATCAGCCAACATGGGCCAGAAACAGCCCATGAAATCAGCTAAGAAAAATGGAACCCTTACTTAAGCCTGGGTAAAAAGAAATGTTTTTGGCTTGGCACCTACAGAAAAAGAAAGACACTAGGCTGTCGAGGTTTGCGCGGTGCTAGCCCACTGCAGGTTGCGAGTGGTGTGAGAGTATCAAAGAAGACGTAAGTCTTATAGGCTTGGTGTAAAACTATATACAATTTATTTACACGAGCCTCCACCAATATATTGCACAGAACGACAAAATGCTCAAGCAGACACCAGGTTTCCATCAGGAAGGATGGTACATTGTACAGCATCACATTTATACTAGCATTGTACAATCAGGACCCAATGCTGAGTCACTGTTAATTAGCTCTGCCCTCAACTAGACAGAACCGGTTGGAGCCAGCTCTACTGACACTCTGAGCTATCAGCTCCTGTCAAACAGATTGATATGATCTACAGCCAGACTTATAGAACACATGGAGTAAGAGTAAGGCACTTGAAAAAGCCCTGTCTGTGGTTGCCACCAGCCTAACCTCTGCAGACAGGGGCACAAACAGCAGAGCTTGAGAAGAAGACCTTAACTGACAAGCTGGATAGTATGGGGAAAAGTGGTTCTTCAAGTACTCCAGCCCCAAAGCCTAAGAGGCTGGCTTGTGGATCCACAGCCAAAAGGGTCTATGAATCCCTTTACATGGTTGTCTAGGTACAAAGGTAACCTACAACTTCCTAGTCCATAAAGCCAGGTCCAAACTGGATTCCATTTATAGTTTATTTAAGTTTTGAAAGCAGTATTATTCTATGTATATATCTCATAACATGAAGAATCAGGTCATTCATTACTCTTCAGTTCAAGTCCAATGGCACCTTTAAGACCAACAAAGTTTAACCAAAAAGCTTATACCTTGAATAAAACTTTTCTGGTCTTAAAGGTGCCATTGGACTTGAATGGCTAGTAGCCACTGATAGATTTATCCTTCATGAATTTATCTAATCTCCCTTTAAAGCAGTTTATTCCTGTGGCCATCACGGCATCTTCTGGCAGCAAGTTCCACGTTTTAATCATTCTCTGTGTAAAGCAGCATTTCCTTTTGTCCATCCTGAACCTACTGCCCATCAGTTTCCTTGGATGCCCTTGAGGTCTAGTCTTTCTTTCTTTCTTTCTTTCTTTCTTTCTTTCTTTCTTTCTTTCTTTCTTTCTTTCTTTCTTTCTTTCTTTCTTTCTTTCTTTCCTGTAAACTTATTCACAGATTTTTGGAGTGGAGCCTGAGTGGTGGGTGTTGCCTTCTGACATACTTCTGGTGATGTCAGGGGGTGTGGCATATGCAAATGTTATGCTAATGAGCTCCTGCACCTCTTTTCTACGAAATGCCCCTGGCAGTGACTCATAAAAGCTCATACTCTGCCACAAATTTTGTTAGTCTTTAAGGTGCTACTGGAATCTTGCTGTTTTCTACTACATATAATGAATGTTTCTCTTATTTGCCTGATCGCTATGAGTGGTATAGTTTACATTGTACCAAGGATTCTTTTCCATACCAGCCCACTGATTTTCCATTTTTGACCATCAAAACTATGTTCATTGTGTTGTGGTTTATATTTATGATATGCCTATATTTCCAAAAAACAAATCTATCTGTTGCTGAAAAATTCAGGTATAAGATTTTTGTTGGGCATAAATTATGCCTATATTCAACCATTGACACTGACTATGCACTTGCAAAGGGTGAAGGGCAGTTATTGATATTGCAGATAACCTACCTGATTTGTGTCAGTGGTTGATTAGTGAGCTAGAAGTTGCAAGATTGTATGAATTATTAGAAGCCATTTTGAAGAAGTATCCTTATAATGAAGGAATTGATGCAGATGCTGAGGTTTTCAGAATTCATTTGCAATGATATATGCAATACTGCTGCAATCATCAAGGAAAGGAGGAATCTGTACTTATGATTTCTTTAGCCCTGATGTAAAAGATACTGGTCTAGGGGTTCCTGCCACAAGTCTGCAGCTCCTCATGGCTGTCTGCATGCACTTATGACAAGGTGGACACGAAGGTTCTTCTGCATGTGGCAGCGACCACGAAGAATGTGTATTGGAATATAATATTCCTGTGTTGACACTTATGCTATGGTCTTGGCTGTGTCTGTACTGTAGCAGATGTACATTGATCAGCTTTGCTGTATCTGTTAGTTTATGAAGCACAGCAGCCCACAAGACTACCAGCAGTGTTATTCCTGAAAAATCCACCTGAAGAGAAAAAAAATAAATGGATGACTTGGAATACTTGCATATTCTTGCTAATGCCACTTAAGCATTTACATCTTTGACAGATACACCAATGGCAAATCTAACTGAAAATTTTGCTGAATTAAAGTGTTGTTTGATGATTGTTGAAATAACGTGAATGAGGGTAACAATATGAGGAAGCTGCTGTTTGTTAAAAGAGGATTAATGATCAGTCATTGTGTACCCACTAAAACCATAATGTCTGCAGTGCATTCATGTCTTCTTTTAACCTCATATCCATCATGAAAATGTGTTGCAGGCAGCTGAAATTAATCAAGCTGTCTTGTATGTTTTTGTCAGGTGTATACAAAAATAAAGCAAGTTGTGTACGCACTATTTGAATAGGTTCATAATGTGGTAGGGTTGCCAAGTCCATGTTCCACCCCCAGCGGGGGACTTTGGGGGCGTTCCTGGAGGGGGCGGGGCATCCCCGACGTGATGACGTCACGTTGGGGATGTCCGCCCCCCCCCCTTGTGCGCCAGATCTCCAGAAACAGCAGTTCCCTGCACTTAAAGGAGCCGGTGTTCCCTACACTTAAAGGAGCCAGCGTTTCCCTTTTAAATGTGGGAGCCGGTGTTTCCCCTTTAAGAGCAGCTGCGTTTCCCTTTTAAGAGCACGAAGCTGGCATTTCCCTGCAAGCTTGCGGAGATCAGGTTTGGGAGGAAACACGGGTTCCACATACTTAAAGGGAGAGAGATGGGTGGCTGTGGGTTTTGGAGGTGGGGCTTCCCCCGCCGGCCATGTTGCCGGCGGTGGGTAGAACCCCCCCAAAAAACAGGGGACCCCTGGCAAACCGGGGGGGTTTGGCAACCCTATAATGTGGGCATATAATATTTATCCTTTATTATCATAATGCATGAAGCTGACTAGAGATGTTTAGTTTGCAAAATTCCTGTCACTGGCTGTTGGAATTTCACCAGTTCAGCTTGAGTGTTTTGCAAATACTGACTGCAAACTTTATTAATTGTCTTTGCAACCACAGGGGCTAAAAACATATTCCAGTTTAAAAAAGAAAGATGAGATTGTGCATATGGCACCAAAGCCTGCATCTAAATGAGCTAGATTAAATACTATATATAAGAACCTTGTGGGTTTATAGATTTCCTGCAGGACTAGCTCTATAATCTCATCTGCCACTGTCCTCCTGTTATCCATCAGACAGACAGCTGACTGCCCAAATGCAGATCTGTCTGGGAACCAGAGATCATTCTCCTTACTCCTCTGGTTCTCTAGACCTCTTTAAAATTTGTGTGACAAGCTGAGCATGCCCTCATGAGATTGGTTCTTCCTCACAGGCTGACTGTTGCCAGCATAACAGAAATGGTGGGCAAAATCTTGCAAGAGGCTTGTGAAAGTTCAAATAGCCCTATAATATCTATTTCCACCACTGCCCCAAGTAATGAAAAGTTACCATGGATGCTCTACACATATGGGAGAATGCAAGACAAAATCCCAGGTAACCTTTCAATTCCAACAGTAATAACGAGTCTGTATATGACTTGCTTCAAGTGTAAGAATTGTCTTCATTCAGGTTAGCTATTACTTCAATGAGAGTTCACCAGTGATAGACCATATCCTAAGATTTCTAGCCCATGAGCTGAAATGCTGCTTATTCAGGTGTCTCTTACATCTTCAAAATGAAATATATATTTTCCTCTGAAATGCCAGTTGAATACTGCTGTTATTTTAAAATTTAAAATAAATATATGCCTTTGTATAGACAGGTTCCATATTTTTTTGACATTTATCTACCTGTGAGTCTACTAGCAGCTGATTTAATTGGTGTCCCTTTGTAGATGAGAATCTGGTCTATGCTTAAATTTAAGCTACCCACAGAAAGAAATAGGCAGTAATTAACTCTTGCCAAATCCTCATTCAGGTTGTGAAGTTTGACAAGCTTTTCAAAATTTTGTGTAGAACCAATAGTGAAAAGTGTCAAATCATTCCTTTTGATAAGCTTCAATAATGAGACAGTTTATGAAATGATTAAGCTTTCCCAAATTTCTTTCTGATCATTTTATTCGCTTGTTCCTAAGTGAGGCAGCTTTTCTGGAAAAATTAGATGATAATGATGTGATTTTTCTCAAAATTCTCCATATTTCAAGGAAGCTAGACACTGTGTTTTGAAGAGAATGGTAATACAGTTTACAATCAGAATGTGTCAAAACAAATTCCCAGCAGCATGGAGAATGTGCTTTGTTTCGGCTGCAGAAAAACACATGTGAAGAAGTTATTTACAATTACTACTCTACCTATGATAAACTAATAATAGTTTGAGAATTGTTGCTGTCTATGGAAGGAACTTAACATTCTGATGAACACTGAGAACGATCTTTTGCAATGCTAAATTTTAGCTGCTTTTTGGTTGCTCTCAGTGGCTGTGACATTGGTTCAGCACTTTGTTCTCAGTAATGATTAGATTTCATCCACGTGCTTCTCCCCTTTTCATGTCTAATTTGACAAAGGGAGTTGTTGTTGAGGGAAAGCAATTTCCATGAAAAACCTTCGATTTTCAGGCAAACATACCAGTCCGCTCTCATGGCAGTACCATGGTGAAGAGGAATAACTTTATTTAGCACTGAGCCATCACAAAAAAAGTGTAGAGAACAGGGGTGCCTTTGTCCAAAATTTACCGCAATAAAGCACACACACCCAAAAAAATGGGAAACAAGAAAGGAGACTGCTATTCCCTTAGGTTTCTTTAACCTCTTTTTTCCAATTTATTCGCACGTTGCCTAACACCAGGGCAGGACATTGTGACAAGAGGTCTGAAAAGGGAAGTTGGGATATATCCATTTTTATTTGTTAAAGAACACTATACATACTATGCCTCAAGAGGACAAGTGAACTGTAGCTCTGCTATTACCTGTTCATTGGGGACTAGGTATAAATAGAGTCCAGATTTAGAGTGAAAATGCTCATGTAGGGAATAGCCAGCTACCCAAGAAGCTGCAAAACCCAATTTGGTGAAGACTGTTATAAATGTTTCCCAGTCCTAGATATGAGTATCATTGAAGTGTGCTATTCTGTTGATGAAGATTTATAAACCAGAGTGATCTGCCCTCCCAACTGTTACTAGTGTTCTCTACACTTTAACAAACAGGGATCATTGTTCAACATTCAGGGATCTTTGCAGGGAGGGCTAGGTAGGGAAGGTGTTTGGGAATTTAAGAAGCTTGTAAGGGGTCAGAGTTATTGTTGAAAGACTAACTAGGATTGGTAGCATTTTGGAGCTCTGTGCAACCTCTGTCCCCATGCCCCATTACAAAAGGACTTAGATGAAATAGCCTTAAACCACCCTTGCCTTGACCCAACAAAAGCAGGGTTGCCAGGCCCCTGACAAAGGTGGGGGAATCCCCGCCCCCAGTTTGAATGGCAGCTGGAGAAAAATTAAAAAATGGCTGTGACTGCCGACTCACAGACTCTTCCCCCTACCACAATCTCTGTCACACTGGTTCAAGGGTACAGGTAGGTCAAGCAGTCACAGTCTGGCCACTTGTCTTGCCTCTTTCAAATACATAGAGACCCCTGACCCTTTCACACACTAGGTCCCCTCTCTCCTTCACAGGGACACCACCAGATAGGGCAGCCCAGTCCCCTTTATCAACCACCCCTCACTCAGATACTTCACAGAGCTACTAGGGTTGGGACTCAAGCACTGTTTCAATCACCCAAAGAACCATTTACTCAAATCTGAATATATATACAAACAGAGATCTGATAGGTTTGTGTGTGTGTGTCTTCCCCTCAGACAGCATTCATTCAGTCTGCTGGTTTACCCATAAAAAGCAGTTAACTTTTATTGAAGGTTACAAACCACATTGGAGTGATTCATGAAGAAATATTCAACGTTTCTGATTACTTGAACTTTTGAACTATAACTCTATTCATGCTTCCAAGTGGCTTTGCCACAAGTTATCTTTCCCTCAACCAACTTCTACACTGCTCTAGATCTTATTCCAATTGACTTCTAATGGAACTGATGGCTCTAACCACCAGTCCTTCTCCCAATGTTCCATCAGTTCTCACTGGGTGTTTGCAGAGAGAGGTGGAACTGGACCTGTCCATCACAATGACAAAACTTGGAAGTGACATCTGTCCTCTCTAGGAATGAGGAAACTTGGTTTTGCCACAGAGTTTCCGGTGATTCCTACAGTGGCATCACTTCTTGATTTTCTTAGAAGTGTTGTCAGGCCATTGGTTGCCACTGCCCCTATGTCCCTGGCCCCCCAGTCTCCCACTGGTTGCCAGATTGGCAGGCCCAAAAGAGAGGTATTTTTTTTGTAATATTTACAGGAAATTTGAGTGCAAATAATTGTTTTCCCATATAGATGCTGATTTATTTCTACTGCAATGGCTAGATAGTATATTTTGATGCAAATTGGAATTTGCATCCATGCCACCAATTTTTTTTTCATGCAAGAACTGGACTGGAATGTCCTTCAGAGAAAGTGTTTCACAGAGAGCTGCTGAAAAAGGAAGAAAATCATGGCTGCTGGTGGAGAAATCTGAGTCACTGAGTGGAGGCAAAAAAGGGGGGGAAATTGATGGGTGACGGAACATTCTTGAAGACTCTGAAGTGAACTCCAAATGTACTGTTGTGTGTGAATGCCAAAACTGAAGCAGAAATTGTCCATGAAAGGTACCCATAATCCTTCAATTGCATATTTATCTTGATCTTTCTTCAAATTCAGGGTTATGTAATGATTTTCTCCCCCTCTATGTTATCTTCACAACAACAATGTAAAGTAGGTTAAGCTGAGAGAGAAAGTTACTGGCCCAAAGTCATCCAGTGATCTCAATATCTTTGTAATTTGAGTCCAAGTTGTCCCCCATCCTAGTCCAACACTCTAACCACTAGAGTATGCTGGATTTTCTGGTAAAAAGATCAAGTCCTTTCTTACCAGTTTAACTTCTTTGCCACATGTAACATCTTTTCCATTGTTTTTTATTTTCCAAGTGCTGAAATGTGAAGACAGATCTCTGGACTTCTTAGCAGGTAGCAGCAGAAGGCTGATAAGTAAACTACAGCCATAAAGCAGACCTGACATTTGCTGAAGAACCGTCTCTTTTTGATGTTATCAGAGTTAATAGAACCCCACTGGGGCAGTTTTCTAGCAAGTGCACATAGGATTTATATGTTCCTGCTTTCAGCCTCCAGCTCCTACTGCTGCTCAGAAGGCTAGCGGGTGGGGGGGGGGAGATTTAAAAAATCACTGTTAGTGTGATGTCACTTCCTATAAAAACCCAGCAGTTGCTTTGGGAATCAGAGGAAATACTATGATGATGTCACTTCTGGGTTTCCCCTGGAAGTGGTATAACACTATTGCACTAAGAGGACCCTACCTTGACCCCACCCCTCAGTCTTTTGCTGGATGCTTGCATTTCTGAATGTCATTACAGTCATTACAGTTGAATAATGTTATTGATTAAGGTGCAGTTTTTACCACCCCACCCCTTTCAAAGTAAAAACAAAGACAACATATTAGAAGAAATATGTTTAGTTTAAAAATCATATATATATATATAGTTAAAATTCAAAGATTATTTATTTATATTTCTTTCCTTAGTGTATTTCTCTTCTGCCTATAGTTCAAGGTCAGGGTACATGATTCTGACATCCATTTTATTCTTATAACAACCCTGTGAGATAGATTAGGTTGAGCGAGAGCATGATGAGATCTAGGTTACCCATTAGGTTTCATGGCAAATGGGAAACTGAACTAGTTTCCCTAGTCTTCATACAACACTCTAACCCCTATGCTACAATGGCTGTATAGCCTGGAAAAGTTCTGATTTTTTTTTTTTAAGAAGTGGCTAGTTTCAGTTCCTGCATTATTTGTGTGGGTAGTTGAAAGAGCCACAAAAATGATCCCACGATTAAGACAGTACTTTGATGAGCTGAGTTCATAGATTTACAGTAAGGGCTGCCAACACCACTTTTCGTACCAGCCTAAATGGGCCTGGAGATCATTTAGTAGAATCTTCACATACCCAACCCCCATCAATCATCCAGTTTATTCGATTTAACATTTATAAAGTGCAAGCTAAGCACTGTACATAGGTAGCAGCTGTGATCAGAGGGCATGTTACAAATAGACAGGAGATAATGACACTACATGAGAAGGTCCCACCATTATTTAGGTTTAGCAGAAATATAGAATGCCCATCTGGGAGAAAGATCAATGTGGTAGCACCATTCTTTTTATTGACAGGGTTTTCAAGGCAAGAGATGAACAAAGGTGCCCATTACCTATCTCTATGTAACTCTGCACTCCCTTGGAGGACTCCCATCCAAGTACTAAACAGGACCAACATTAATTAGCTTCTGAGATCTGATGAGATTGGGCCAGCTTGGGCCATCCAGGTCAGGGCTGCATACGGTAAAGCAGATCATAACCAAGTCAAAAGAGTTAGTAATGAAACAAAGCTTGTTTCAAAGCTTCATTAAACAAG